CCCCCCCCAAAAAAAAGGAAATTTTATTTTTTTATGGCGCAGTCTTGTAGGGGACGACGTGTGCCGCCTGCGCGCGTGCGTCGATTTCCCACGCGCGTCCCCACTGGGCCGTGCCGCGGCCGCGCGGCTCGGACTGGGCCGCAGGATCCGTGGCCCAGGGTGCCACGTAGCCTGAGGGGTGGGCAGCGAATATATAGTCTGGATTCAAATTCAGGTCTGTACATGTCAGTTATGGGTCACCATTTCTCTGTTTTCTCGATTTTCTTTTCTTTTCTCGTTTTTCTTTTCTTAGGAATACGTGCAGTGGCCCTAAGGGCCTTCACTCACCAAATGCACAAAAGAAAAAACATATGGTGGCATATTATTCCACGTTCTGCAGAAGATTAATTCTAATTTTGCACATTTCGTGAGTAGTGCAATCAGACACGTACTCATTCACAATCTTCATGCATGTAAACAGCAACGCGGCAACCTGACGACATGCGCCCACTCAAAACTCAGAGATATGGCTTCCAGATATGAGTTCACTTCCAACTGGTTATGGCGACTCAGCGCCCAAACAACTCACTGTTCACACACTGGATCACCCTGGATATCCCACACGCGTCACTCTGAACACTCGCACATACACACACACACTGCACACTAACTACAGCTATGGCAGCTATGGCCGCCTCTACCCTATCACTATGCTAACTCCTCCTCCCTCGCCCACTGCGTCCTCCGGGCTCACTGCAGACCTCCTTGCACAAGTCGCTGTGGCAGCGCTTCCGCATGGCTCACGCAGGAATGAATGAATGGCTGGGCGCTGCCTCTTGATTTATACTTCTGCAGGTCATTGGTCTGGCCCATTTCCCTTGCCCCAAGTGCACACAGTCCCGTGCGGTACTTGCTTGACTGACTGGGGACTGGGACTGTTGACTCAGCAGGGTAGACTTCCCCCACTTGCCCACTGTCCCTCACCACTTAAACGTGGGCAACTCACGAAAGGCCACTACTGGAACCTTTCAGAAGGCCGTAGACTACGATGTCTAGACCTGACTAAAACTCCTATTCGACAGGTCTACAGCTCGAACCCATGCTACCTATGGACCCTACGACAACCTATCAGCTATTACAAATACACAGGTCGCGGGTTCAACTCTACGGGTCGACACAGGTACACACAGGCAAGGTTGGGGTCTAGGGATCGAACCCTGGGTACTGCATCTGCTACTGCTAAAGGGTGAAAACTGTTTCAGTAGTGCAGCCAAGCCCTAAGAGTCACATGCAGAGACCAACAGGCCCTAGCTATGTGAGCAACCCATAACTGCGGAAACACAGACCTGAATTTGAATCTTGAGTATATATTCGGCCAGCTCGTGGTCTATTTCATATTCACTGCCTGCCTCGATTTTGGTGGGGGGGTCTGCGC